AGTGCTGTACTAGTATACTACACTATACACCACGCACTAGTGCTGTACTAGTATACTACACTATACACCACGCACTAGTGCTGTACTAGTATACTACACTATACACCACACACTAGTGCTGTACTAGTATACTACACTATACACCACACACTAGTGCAGTACTAGTATACTACACTATACACCACACACTAGTGCTGTACTAGTATACTACACTATACACCACACACTAGTGCTGTACTAGTATACTACACTATACACCACGCACGAGTGCTGTACTAGTATACTACACTATACACCACAGTGCTGTACTAGTATACTACACCATACACCACACACTAGTGCTGTACTAGTATACTACACCATACACTAGTGCTGTACTAGTATACTACACTATACACCACACACTAGTGTGGTACTAGTATACTACACTATACACCACACACTAGTGCTGTACTAGTATACTACACTATACACCACACACTAGTGCTGTACTAGTATACTACACTATACACCACACACTAGTGCTGTACTAGTATACTACACTATACACCACACACTAGTGCTGTACTAGTATACTACACTATACACTAGTGCTGTACTAGTATACTACACTATACACCACACACTAGTGCTGTACTAGTATACTACACTATACACCACACACTAGTGCTATACACCACACACTAGTGCTGTATTAGTATACTACACTATACACCAGTGCTGTACTAGTATACTACACACCACACACTAGTGCTGTACTAGTATACTACACACCACACACTAGTGCTGTACTAGTATACTACACCATACACCACACACTAGTGCTGTACTAGTATACTACACTATACACCACACACTAGTGCTGTACTAGTATACTACACTATACACCACACACTAGGGCTGTACTAGTATACCACACTATACACCACACACTAGTGCTGTACTAGTATACTACACCATACACCACACACTAGTATCGTACTAGTATACTACACTATACACTAGTGCTGTACGAGTGCTGAATTGGCATGTTCTGTTTTAACGTGACAACCCTTACTAGTTGGCTGTGTCGGGTGATGGCGGGTTTTAATGACACATTGATATATTTACGCGATCTAACCCAAAAAAAACATCTATTATGGATGCTATTGGTCGCGAAAGCCTACGTGTTAAACTTATATTAATAGGGTTATGCCATGTGATATTGTTGAAATAAAAATTGGACTGGATATGCTGAGTAACTGTGAATTCAATATATTACTATGTGTTTCCCCAGCATGACATTCAAGCCTAGTAGAATATTTACCCTGAATAATGTTCTCCCGAGGCTTTCAGCCACCTATCGTTTGTTCACAATGGCTTGGCCAATTATTTCCAGCGGTTGGGTTGGTAGATACAATTGCTTATTGTGGGCTGGATTTCAAATGCATAGCCGGCTAAAGCTTGGAACAAACGGCCGCAAATGTCTCTACTGTGGCAGCTTAGGTGGCATGGGTCTTTTCCCACAGGATGCAAGCTGGCTTGCCCTACCACCAAAACTTGGCACCTCACAGCAGTGTGCTTCAGTTCATGCTGAAAGCAGATGGCATTAGCATGGTTGGCCATGTACTGTGCGAAATAAGTTAACACACCAGTGCACAGAGCTGCCAGCCAGTGTGGAAATCCTGCATGGCTCACACACGGACTGGTGTGCAACCCTTGCGACTGAATCGTCTGTTCCCGTCTAATCAACGTGAGGAGTCATTTGTTGAATCACCAACCTTTCCGAATGATGTATTAAGCAGCATCGATGGATATTATATTACACCTGTGCCCAGAGTAAATGGTTGGGAGGATGATGCAATTCTAGTCATTGGAAATATGAAGTTATTATTAGTTTCGGAAACATTTTTTCCGACCATAGCTCACAATAACCATGCAAATGTAACTTGGGCAAGTAATTATTCTACCGAGTAGCTGCGTTAAATATTAAAAGGTATAAAGGTGTGCGGCTAAAAGTTACGTGCACAAATGCTATTGTGGGAAGGCAATGTACAATTAAAACGAAATTCGGGCAAAAAAATATGAAGCTCTTAGATTTTCACAGCATGTTGACAAGACATTTAAGTTAAACGAAGCCACAAGTATATTAATAAAACCTCATGCGATTTGCCATCTATAGACGATTATCCTTTAAAAAGAGCGTTGTGATTGAAAATTAGGACATTCTGTATTGTATATGCATAGTGTGGACTGCCGAAACAATAATGAAATTAAACATTTTAAACGCTACCAGCGCAAGGTGTGGTGCTCGCCCTGACATGCCCTTGCCCGAGCAGTGGATGAGGACTCGGACACGTAATCCCTGCCTGGTAAATGGCGAGTTTCTGTACGTGAGCATTACTCCGTTCAAGCAGTGGGAGGTGGGATTCAACAATTGCCTCGACTTTTTTACCCTATACTGTCCAAGGGCCACTCTGGGCTGTAATAATAAAATGTAGTACTTATTATAACAATAGCTACTATGATGCTACTGCTGATGCAGGATCTTAAGGCTGCAAAGTTTAAATCCCAGACAAAAAAAGGTACCCAGCGCATCATGTTTCTGTCGATACAATTGCGATCATTTTTTTTGTAAGTCAACAGTTATCCTGGATAAGACCGACCATTAGAAACGTGGCATTCACCACTGGTTCAAGGTCACCAGGGAAGAGAACTGCTCACGAGGAAGGTAACATCGACTTGTTTTATACCCAGCGATACGGCAGCTTGAAATGCATTTTTTATCATGATTGACAGGCCTTCCTCTGCTATATGAAGGGCTCTTCCACAACGTGTTAGCCATGGCTGTTATGCAGTCACACGTCACCACAGTAGAGATAGGAGCTTTAAGAAAAGAGACATCGTTGTAGACAACGAAGAAGATCAATATAAAACCTGCACTTATTCAAGGATGTGGGCAAAGCATACGAGAAAGAGCAAGCCCCCTCCTCCTCCCACCCAGAAGAGTTTAATGACTACTACTATAATAGCCCAGAAATGTGAAACGCGCGTGACGTCACTCCACATGCCGCCCCCCCCTCCCCCATCATTAAGAAGGTCGAGCGGCAATATATAGTCGCAAATTAGCTTTAAGTTTCACGTTTCTTTATTTAAAGTGAATCTAATAAATAAATCTACGCAGCAACAAAGTGGATTTGGGGGGGTCTTTATTTTTTTCTTCTTCAGCATTTGAGACGAAAGCCAAGTCTAATTTATGCTTCTACATTTTGGTTAAATAGACATTTCTCGGTGATTTTCCAGACATTGTATTGCAATCCAATTTATTTGAACTCCAGCGATCGAAAGAAGAAGATAAAGTATCAGAGCAGTGAATTAGAACAAATTGAAGGTCGGTTATATATACAGTGCTACAGTGGCATGAAGTGAAGTGTTTGATGACTTACTTTCGTGCAAGATTCACTGTCATTCAATTTACACAAAATACAATTATACTCTGCTCATTTTTTCCCGTAAATATTACAGCTTCTGTCCTAGGACAGGCAAAAAAGCTAGTTTCTTAGATGCTCTTGCGGTGACCAAACAATCTTGGAAAACACAATACAGCTGTTCTAGATTGTCAAACTGCTCAGCATTATAGGTTGGCAAATAACATGTACGAGGAAAAAGCATTTTCCAAAATACAAAGTCAACGCGAGGAATGGAAATAAAGCAGTTAACAAATTAGGAAATTAGTGTCGATTTTTCGAAGTTTGTGATGCTAGACCCCAGGAGAACTGTAATATTTTTTTAATAACTATACTTTATCATTCCAAGAATTTATATCAGCCAACCTAATTAAGTATCCCAAAAGTAAATCTCATTCCAATGAGACCCAATCTTTAAATATTCCATCAGCACAGGGGTAGAAGCCTGCGCACACAGATACATAGGAGACACATTTTACCACTACATACACTTAAGTCAGGTAAATAGATTACCTCCATTTCTAAAGTAGGGCAAGATTCAAATTACAACAGGAGACTATTCTAAAAGGGAGACCTGAATATTTTACTTAATAAAATTAATCCAACCAAAAACTATCCTGTGGAGCAAGTGCTTGATACATAAATCACAAGCCTGTGATCTTGAATACCCCCCAAAAGGAGTGGAACTATTTGGGTTTGATCAACTGGGTACCGATTTTTAGGACGTCAACAATTAATCATTGCATTGTGACACTGCCAGAATGTCTGTTAATTATCAGAACCAGTCAAAATAACCATGAGCTACATTTTATTGGAGCAAGAAGACTTGTCGTCACCTTTGTACTCTCGTAGATGGCACTCACCACCGCTATCCAGGGGCGGAGCCAGGATTTTCAGCCCGGGGTGACATTCAACAAATGTTAATTTCAAGAATGATTAGAGAGTCAGGCTGTTGAACTAGACGCCATCGGTTGGCGACACACTCTTACAATGCAGTTGCACGGAGTCCGCCAGACCGAGTGTCCTACACTTATACGCAGAATGTTTCAGATTTTCGAATTTTTTTTCGGGGGTGACAATTGTCTACCCTGTCACCCCCCTGGCTCCGCTCCTGCCACTATCGCTTGTGCCCACAGGGAATTTAGTCACCTCGCCACGGTTTAGGTCTTCTCCGGATGCAGCACACGGCCAGCACACCCCCCCCCCCCCCCATCCTAATTTAAGTCACCACGCTCAAGCGGTGCAATGTCGGAACCGTGAACGACGAGTCCGAACAAAGGCAGCAGATCCTCGACTTCTGGACGCTCTCAGGCAAGGGTCATCCCCCCACGCCTCCCGCAGGATGGCGGTAGAGGCAGCCCTCCTTGCTCTCGACCCCCCACTGCCGAGTTATGTCCGTTGATCTCGCTCGTCTCTGCTCCCCGACCTGACGACCACGGAAACCACACCAGGGGACTATCCATTTCCGACCCTGGCGTGCTGGAAAGCAACATATAGTTTCAGAACTATAGGACCAGAGGCGGAGGCCACGTGTGATGCAAGCCGGATACTTACAGAATTCGGCTTGGCTGTTCTTGGCGGGTCGCTCCTCTCTCCACTGCTAGCTGGGTGGTGTCCTCCTGCTGCGATCTCTTCCCGCATCTTTATTGTGTGGGAGGGGTTACCCGGTGAATTGTATGAAATTTGAGCTGAGTTTGGCGCGTTTCATTGGTTAATTACCTGATACAATTAAGCCCCGCGCCTATTCTGAATACAACAACGCACGCGTCATTCTCCACGCGTTCTCAATTAAAATCAGAGCACGCGATTCCTCCGCTAATCATTATTTTGACTCAAAGCGCTTGCTGCACCGCTGATGAATTGGCCACCCTAATGAGGCTCATCAATTCCATCATTTGGCAAACCCAGAACCAGCTCTTCCTCTGCCAGTTCACTAACCTCCCTCGTTCAAATACCTTGTCCACCTCATGGACATTGTATCGGGATTGAACCCCCACAAATACGCCGCATTTAACTCTCACCTGTTGTAAGCAATTTCAACGTTACACCTTGAGGCTTTATTGTCGCACGTAACACCGCCTCTTTGTAGCGTAACAAACTGCTGGGACAAGTGTTAGCGAGCAACACTAAGTATGCATGGCCACCTTGGAGTCCCCACTGCTGATGTGCGCACACTGAACGAGGCTAAGTTGACTTAGGGGAGGCCTAGAATTGATTCAGAAACCACTTCACATTAATATTGTGCCTGGCCAAAAATGTAGACCAACTTGACTTGATTGGCTTCGCTGGGTGTCTTAGGGTAGAGCTGAACATTGGCATGCGCGAACTAACCCATAAATAATTAAATATTAATCAATGTCAGACAGTTATCCCTTTACCTGATATATTTTGTATTCCTTACTTAAGTTAGCTCCTCGATGAAGTGAGCTGGCTTTTTCAGGGGGAATATGGTCATGTGACTAATATTATTTTCAACCAAGGCTACTAAAATCAGGAAAACAACAGTTTTGCTCAACCATGAGGAAGTCTCAATAATTGTTGCGAATTCATAGCAAAACATGTCAAGAGAGCAAGTTGGGCGCCGCGATGGCGAAATGTTTACTCCCTCCCCTGGTATGCAGGAGGTTCTGGTTTCGATCCTGACCCTGATGTCTGTATATTTGGAATTTGCGTGGTCGCGTTAATTTTTCTCCAGGTCTTCCAGTTTTTCCTCTCCACATTTAGAAACATGCGTTTAGAGTATTTGGCTGCTATACATATCCACGTGATAAGCCACTTCGTTGAGTTATCATTTGTTGCCAGGTTGCTACTGAAAAAGAGCTATATAGGCCAGTAGGCCTTATCTGGTAAAATACAAAAAATAGTTTAGTGAAAAGTGAGGCCGCAAAATGTTTCTGTCGTTGCCAAATAATGATGATGTATGTATGAATGCCGTGGTGCTACCATGGAATTCGATTATTGTGGAGACAGCCGAAGTGAATGCACACAGCGCACACAGATCTTCCAGAAGATTTTAGACAAATTTCTGTGACAGCCATGCTGTTAGCCACAAGACGAAGGCTAATGTGCCACATCTTGGACAGCATAACCCTCGACTGGGAAAATAAAATCTCTAAACAAACGCAAATAATAAACAATACACTATATTCTTGGTTCTTTCCATAAAGTCACGTTGAAGGGAAACAATAAAATAATAAAATATATAAAACAAGAAACATTTCTAGCTGTGGTTTTCACACCTGATGATGACTGCTTGTGTTGCAGTCGAAACGTCGTGAGAATTTTATTGTTTTATATATTTTATTATTTTATTGTTTCCCTTCAACGTGACTTTACCGAAAGAACCAAGAATATGAATCACTGCAGTCACGAAAGCTTTAAATCAAAACAATACACTATCACACGCTTGCGTTTTTCCTCAAACTGGAAAATGAGTGGTAAACAGGCTTAACTGAGGAAATCAACAGTGATGAATGATTCATGTTTTAATTTGTTTACCTTGTAAGAAAGATATGCATCAAAATTCACTACTCATAAAAATTTTCGGGAGGATCTGATTTTAAACAATTTTCCAATTTCTGATTTAGTATTTTACATGTGGGTTTAAAAGTATCTCGAGAGAAACAGAAGACAGAACTCAATTAATGATTGGATCCCTTCAAGTGACCTTTTGCACCCTCACACTAGAATGTGTTACAGATAATTGTTTATCAGGAACAATGTTTTTCATTGTCAGAGCTGGAATTTAGTCAATTTGATTGAAAACAATCAAGAATATGTTTTTTTTACCCAGCCGAGGCCATCAAATCACTCCACACCATCTGATAGCCCACTAAAATCACAGGCGCCTATACGGGATTCAAACCAAGGATCTCGGTAATGTTGGCTCAAAGTGCTGGCCCTTAAGCCACCTCTAATAGATAACAATGTTACCATCCCCATAGGGATGATGGGTTGAGTTGACCCCTAACCAGAAATTGAACACACTGACCACACTGCCACCTGGCTGGGTAACAACTGGAATATCGTTATACAATTGTATATGTTTTAAAGCACTTCCAAAAAATGTATTCAGGTATGTAACAAGGGAAGAATAATGTACCCAGATCTACTGGTTGAAATATGCTGTGAAAATTGGGTTGTTGTGTCCTTTGGGTAAGATGTTTGGCTCTTGGTACACTTGGGATGATGGGAGAGAGGGCCCAATCCACTTAATCAAAGTTAACACACTGAAGAAAATGGGGTCATTGACGAACCTGAGTAAACCTGTGCAGTTTTCAATGAGGATATTTTATACCGCTTATATTGGACTGGAGGCTTGGAATTAATTCAATAAAAATTACTTTAATGTTGGACTGCAATAATTTTTACACTCTTTACCGAAATGACAAAAAGTATGGATTCCTGCAGTCACCAAAGCTTCAAATCAAGATTGAAATAATTTTGTCGCAGAATTACGAAAACAACACTTGTCATTTCCACACAAAATGTCTATGTTTGTGTTTTTAAAATGTGTACTGGTCTATGCAGCTGTAAATCTGTTTACACAAATGTAGGCCATTGTTTTTAACAGACGATTGTCTGTGTAAACACAGCTCTGGAATGATGCACATATGCTATCTAATTGAATGAAGGAGTTATAGATAATATGCCTCAGTATATTGTGAGGTAAAGCTCTGCCTCGAGTAAAAATATCCAGCCAGGTGTCAATGTGGGAGAGCACATGACTCACATATAGAAGTACATGAGATCAAATCTTAGCTGAGTACTACATAGTTTATCCCTCTGGCAGGGATAAAATTAGTACCACTTTGTGGTTGTCCTATGGTATAATGTGAAATTGTTATCACTGGTTGAGAGCCACTGACAGCGGTGGGAATCATCCCCCTCTGGTTTAAACGTGGAAACACTCTGCCGTTTGAGAAATAAGAATTGCAGTTACTGGCTATGTATTGGGTTCTGTGAGTCAAACACTGAGTCTTAGGTTTTCCAGATTAAATGTTCACCTCAGCCACACTGATAACATAGTGTGCGTGAGCATTATCTCGGGATAAATCGACAGGCCAATGAGATAAATGCATGGATTTGGAGAATAAACAAGAAACTGAGATGCTTCGATCAATCTTAGCAAAGAAAAATGGGCCTGGGCCAGACATTTCACCAGATGGGATAACAATCAATAGCCAAAACTAGAGCTGGAAGGACAGCCGAGAGAGAGAGAGAGAAAGCGCACAAAAGAGAACGAGAGGCCTCAAGATGGGACGGAGTAATGGAATTCTGGCTCATGTGGGAGTGAAATGGATAACAGCTTCGTGTCTGGAAACTGATGAATCAGCATGGATGTAACCCAATTGTGTAATATAATTAAACAGCCTAAATTGCATTGATTAACAATCATGCTTGTGATGATGATAATTTGGACATAAAATATCACTGGTAAACATGTGAATCAGAATTTCAAGTTCCACAATACAAGAAACATTGCCTCTTTTGCGATGGCAACCTGGGTAATAGGCTTATTTCATGAAATTCATTAAAACAACATTCACATTTTCTATATCGATTATAAAAGCCTGGCGTTCTGTGTGTCCATTTGCCTGTTTGTCCATCAACTAAATTATGAGAGCCTTTAAGAAGGCCTGAATCAAAAAGTTAAAGAAAGTGGACCCACCCAGATGTGGGGCTAAAACATCTATCCAAGCGGTTTTGCAAAATTGTCAACTCCCCCCCAAAATTGTTTTTCACCCCCCCCCCCAAAAAATAAATTCTATAGGCTTTTATGCCACCCTACATACAATAGAGTCAGCAGTATCTGCACACATTGAGGGGGGGGGGGGGCGGAGAAGAGGACATCAGTGGGGGCAACGGGCAAGGCGCGAGGCGCAAAGATGCCCTCCACAGGAGCCAGAATAAGGCCAGAATAACTAGGGCGTCGAAATTCTAGTTTCTTGAATTTAAGTGGGCAAGAAACAGTGAAAACGCAGCACTCATTCCCATGAATGACCTTGGCCACGTGGAGGACGTTCTACATTCCCATGGATGGAGGCCAGCCTCCAATGGATAGCCACAGTTCATTTGCCACAGCGGGGTACTCAATCATAATAATAACAATGACAATTTCATATGCTATAGCGTCATTCATGCTAATTGCATCTCACAACTATGTACAACATTTATATCCATAATCACATTTAGGACTACATCTTATCTACATATCTAAAAGGCAAAGTTGTGAATAAAAATGTTTAGCGTACTTCCCGACATGCAACAAACTGGACATTTGCCATGTGGGTACTTTCCAGACTGTACACCATGCAAAAATTTATAAAAATACACTTTTTTTGGGGGGGGGGGAGCTTAATAATGCATATATTTTTTGCACGGCAAGTGAGCTGTGACGTCAAATCTGTCACGTGACCCGCGCACGTGGAAGCGTAACGCATTGTAGTGTAGTGGTTAGCGCGCTGTGTATGTGTCTGTGTGTGTGTCTGTGTGTGTGACTGTGAGTGTGTGTCTGTCTGTGTGTCTGTCTGCGTGTCTGTCTGTGTCTGTGTGAAAGCGTAACGCATTGTAGTGTAGTGGTTAGCGTGCCGCGCTACAAACCCGGCGACCCGAGTTCGATGATTCCTGCTCCTGGCCACCACCGGTGACGATTATTTCAACTGGTCCTGGGCCTCCCCTAGGTCGGCTCAGCCTCAAACGAGTAACTGCTGTAATGTGTGAACATCGCCACTGGGGAGACAAAGGCGGCCGGGCGTGATGGATCCAAGTCCCGGACGAAGCCGGGTAGTACAGCTAGTTAATTATAAACTGAAAATACGCCAGTCTGGGGTTTGAACTCGCAACCTTCCAATTGCAAGGATATTGTTCTAAGCACACCTGGATCGATTTTGGCAATGTCATTTTGTTAAATTAACAAAATATTTGTTTACCAATGTAATGACACTCGAGTATACCTGTGGTGTGAGTGGATTAGTGGCCACGGGGATAATGACAGGGGAGTCAGCCTACAGTGTTAAAGGACTAGTGGCCACGGGAGGTAATGACAGGGGTGCCAGCTTGGAGTACGAAGGGGGACTGGTGGCTACGGGAATTATCGAGAATAGGAGCATGGCCAGGTGACGGAAAAGGATGGTAGAGTCTGCTGGTGGAGCGAGCGTCCAGAGCCAGCGAGAAGGTTCGGGAAGGGGGGGCGTGGCCTCGGTCCGTATACAGTGAGGGAAAAAAGTACTTGAACCCTGCTGATTTTGTATGTTTGCCCACTGACAAAGAAATGATCAGTCTATAATTTTAATGGTAGGTTTATTTGAACAATGAGAGACAGAATAACAACAAAAAAATGCAGTAAAACGCATGTCAAAAATGTTCTAAATTGATTTGTGTTTTAATGAGGGAAATAAGTATTTGACCCCTCTGCAAAATATGACTTAGTACTTGGTGGCAAAACCCTTGTTGGCAATCACAGAGGTCAGACGTTTCTTGTAGTTAGCCACCAGGTTTGAACACATCTCAGGAGGGATTTTGTCCCACTCCTCTTTGCAGATCTTCTCCAAGTCATTAAGGTTTCGAGGCTGACGTTTGGCAACTCGAACCTTCAGCTCCCTCCACAGATTTTCTATGGGATTAAGGTCTGGAGACTGGCTAGGTCA